GTAAAAATCCTGCGTTTCGACGGAATCTATAAGTGTTAATCCCCCGATAAAATGACTGCGTGAAATACAGGAACTTAGTTTTTTTTCACTTTAGAGTATTCGGCGCACACTATTACTTGCGAAACTTAAGGTCCCTTAGGATTGAGGAAATCTTTTTGTAACCTACGAGTTCTAGTTCCTTAGTCCTCGTCATGATTTTTACGATGAACGTAAGTTCCAAGTCCTGAGATAAGAGACGGTGTGAAGGCGTAGTCAGGCTGCGAAACCAACGACCTACAGGGCCTCAGAGTGAGTCAGATACGACACATTAAAGCTCTGCAGCATCCGGCTGACGACCGATTAATCTCCCCACTCTTCCTTCTTTTCTTAGTGTCTCGGTCATAGCAAAAACGGGGAAACTTTTGAGTGATAACTACAAGAAACACAATTTCTGTCGTATAATACGGTTTTACGTGAATGTGGTAACATGCAAGAAACAGATATGTACCTATACACCAGGGGCCCCACACGTCCCTTGAGTGGTCACAGTCTTGTTGTGTTGGGAGAGGCAAGAAGAGGTATGTGTTTAGAGATTTTTGCCCCGACGTCTGCGCTAACTAGGTCCTTAACTTTATAGAGACTGCAGTCGTTTTGTTCCTCCGGAAGGCGCATACTACCCGTCGAGAGCGTGGAGTAGTCCTCCTCCTGTCCCGGTGCCCCGGTACACGGCAAGCTTTCGCGACCGTCTGCGACACCAGTATACGGTCCGGACGATACTGGGACATCAAGGTATTTTCGTCGCTTATTCTGAATGAGTGTCCTAAAGTAGGAACGGTTTTTGTCCCATTTACTACGTTCGTCTATCTAGGACTTTTCACAATACCTGAATCGCATATTATCCAAATGAGCGACGACACTTAATCTTGTTATTGACAAATATTACCGATAAATACTTTTTTTAGCACACAGTAAATCTTAAAAATAAGGATATATCCATACCGGGATGTGTATAAGAATAAGTTTATATCGTACCTGATCGCTACAACTAAGTGACTAAATAAGACTACTCACGTTATCATGCTGAACATTAGCCACTTAGTGGTGGCGATGTGACGTCATGTGACCAAGATGTAGTTCATTTATAGCATTGCATTAGCTTTTTACTTTTCGCTATTGCATTTAAGCTTCAATTCTTTTAAAAGTGGTGTTAATATGTGGAGATTATCCTGTAACTTTAAAAAGTACAATGGAAAAATCCTATAGACTTTTTGTCAAAGAAGCCCTTGCAATGCTAACATCTGCCATTAGGCTACAAAATCGGAGCAGAAGTGAGTGGTCACATTGTGGACTTAATACTAGTTGAACATAACATTTTATATTTGTATGTGTTTTTATATGTTTCTAGTTATTGTGCTTTTTATTTTATTATTTTTCTCCCATTGTGTTATTTTATATTGTATTTATTCCCGGTACAGCACTTAGAAAAATCAACGCGCATGCACATTAAAGTTCAGATATCGCTGATTATTTAGAGAAAAAAAACTGATAAAATATTAAACAAAACTCTAAACTCTTAACCAAAAGATTCAAAGCCATACAGCGTATATCTTGGGTGCATTTTCTCCTTCACCACGCGGTCTCTATCGTGCGGTTAATAAATAGTTTCCCTCGACTCAACATGAGCACCTGTCACCTGTCGTCTATTAAAGGGCCAAAGCCACGCCTATGTGACGTCACCATAATAATCCATTGATAGTCGGCATCAATCAAAACAATAATACATATAAATAATAAAACATAATATACAAGACATTCATAATATTTCATTAGAAATAGAAATAAGATGAGATAAGAAATGCAAAATGGCTTCAACAGTTGTTTTAAATGGGCTATATAAATAAATAAAGATTGCGATTGAGGACTTACTCTCCAGGAACTCGATGTGCAGGTCCTCCCGGCTGATGGACACAGCGTTGAAACCCTGCGTGGGCTCCATGTCGTGCTCCAGGCAGCCGGTGGACAGGCAGTGCAGCAGGCTGGTCTTACCGGCTCCATCCAGACCCAGAACCAGAACCTGGGTCCCTGCTGACTCCACAGGCTTGGACTAGAGCACACACAGAACCAGCACACATCAGATTTAGGTGGAAAACTATCTGACATACACACGTTTCTGTACCATGAAGACACACATTTGACCTTTGAGAAATGTTTCATCAAAAATATTGAATGGCGGTTCGGTGCAGACAGTTCATATTAAAGCAGTTGCTAGTTGTACTGAGCTGTTAGTATGAATCAGTAAGTGTGCATTATAAGATTTGTGTAATCAATTAAACGTATTGTCTGATTCATTATCTATGTTTTAATCACAGCTTTAGAGCCGGTACTATTAAAAGTAACCCCCTGAGCCATTACAAAAATACTGCCAATGAGTTTATATTTGAAGTTTAATGTGGTCTATTTCAAGACTGCAACTCATTTGAACGGATTAGTCATCATAGTCTAATGAGCAGAACACGGTAGAAGATGTCATGTAAAATGTAGGAAACCAGGAATTTTTCAAATTCAAAATACATGTAAAAATGCCAAAGGTTTTACATTTTCTGTCACTCAAATAACTTATATTTTGTTTCACTTCTAATATAATGAATACAATATAATATAATTATCAGGTTACTTAGCACTACATATCCCATAATTCCCCATGGCAACATTCAGAGAACTAGCGAACTTGTGCACACATAAAATATAGCTTAGTTTTTAGCTGTAGTCGATACACCCTGGAAGATGTTCATAATAAAAGATCAACTTAAATCACAAAGCTGCTGTTATTTAGAGTATTTTCGTTCACGTTTTAATCCTGTAACTAAAGTTGTTTTAGGTGAGGAGAAACGTACACAGTCTCCCCTTGTCTGTAACCTTGTTGTAAGTAGATCTGGATGTCAATTTTAAGTGCAAAGTTATATTTAGAAGTAAATAATACTATACTACCACCAACGGTTTCTAACGGAAGGTGTGTCCATGGTAACGTTTTTACCTCGGGTGTTTTCGGAGCTTCTGCAGCGACAACCGGCGCAACAGCAGCGGCGACAACAATTTGTTCAACCATAATTTCCTCCTTTATTTCCCCCTCATCTTCGGCCTTTTTACCGTCTTCCTCCGGCCGTGTTTCGGTCTCCTTCTCCCCGGGGGAGGACGCGTAGTTCCAGACAACATAAGCGACTCCTCCAGCCATAGCCACGGAGGCTCCGATGACACCGGCTGTCTTCAACCCGAACATCTTGCTCAACCGTCGGGTTAGTGATCTACAAACTGCCGCTTTTTTTTACCCGTCCGTTTTAACCATTGTTTTTACTTTAATTGGTTATTTCACTCCTCGTTCTCCTCTATAAATCAACAAGTGGATTAACAGACAGGAAGCTCAACTCCTCCGCACGATACTTCCGGAAAGAAGTGCGCCGATTTCATTTGAAACAGTGTTACCAACTCACCGCTTGATGGCGCCATTATTCTTTTTATTTTCAAGTAACATGTAATGTAATGATATATTATATCATTACATTACATGTTACTTGTTAGACGCTTTTATCCAAAGCGACTGTGGACAATCCCCACTGGAGCAATTTTGGGGTGAAGTGTCTTGCCCAGGGACACAACGACATGCTGACTGCAGTGGGGTTTGAACCTGTGCTCCCCTGATCCGAACAACAAGGCTCTATCCACTGCGCCATACACCTCCCTTTTCATGCATTATACCCTTTATATATATAGTCTATGATTATACCCAGTGGTAGAAAGTAGGCCCACTATGTGTACTTCATTGCGACATTAACAATACTGACTACGACTAGTTTAAAAAAATAATGGGAGGATGGTAAAAATACAAATTCCCACTTTTATGAAAATTCTGAGTCAGGATTATTTTGTGAAAAAACGCTATCATTGGGTTTATTTAATGTCTTCCATATTACATACGTTTACACTGCACGTGTGCTTATTTCAACTTGAATGTGCTTCTCGTTTCTGAGTTTTCCTTGTGATAGGTCTTTGGGCGCATGGGACTATTGTTTTATTCCTACAATATAATTAAATCTATTGTAGTCCCAAAAATGTATTAAAATATTGAGTTCTTACTCTTATACTAAATATAGAATCTTAAGAAGATCTCACTTCAGCAGAACAGTTTGACTGATTTGAACAAAAAAAAAAATACAGAAATATATCAATAAAACATTTATAAAAGACCATAGTTGGGGTTAGACATTTTAGTTTTTATGGATTTTGGTTGTTGTGACTTTAGATTGTAATGTTTCTGTATAATACATGAACTCTCTCAATTCTATATGTATTAATTATATATAATGAAAATACTTGGATTATTGTAAGGGTCCCGGATCGCAAGCTTCCTATACCTTGTTGGGGTGTCCCATTTCACATGTCTCCATTGTGTCTTAAGATTGTACTTGTTTTTTTAAAATTTAAACTTGTGAATATAAAATAAAATGAGAATAGGCAATCCTAGAAAAACTCTTCCCATTTGTGGCCATAACACATATATCAGTTATGGCCACAAATGGGTCAAACAAAAAAGGTAATTTTCCAATTGAAAATAACTTTATTTAACCTGGAAGAACACAAACAAACAAACAAACAGAACACATGGTTGCAGCTGGAAGACTTCCTCCCTTCCCATCATTCTTTGTAGGGTGGTGTCTGCTTGGTCCTCTTCACCGGCACCCTCTCCTTCTGCTCCGGAGCGCTGAGGAGCCAGACCTGCACCCGGCTCTCGTCCTTCGTCACCCCGAGACTCTTCCAGGTCCGAGCCCTCAGAGAAGGAGGCCTCCTCTTCCTCCCAGACTCATAATGCTGCTCTGATCCCGAGCTGGAGGACTCCACCTTCAGCTTCTCCGGCTGCCGGTGCCTCCGGGCCTTCGGCGCCTCCTGGAAGTTGCTGTAGCTCTTCTGCTTGATGGAGGAGATGAGTCTGGCTCTGCTGCTGCTGGCCTTATAGTCCCTTTCCTCCTCATCCTCATCCTCATCTCCACCGCCACCTTTGTTATCCTGCGAACAGTGGTGTAAAGAAACAAAGTACATACTACTTAAGTACACTTTTGGAGGCACTTGCAATTAACTTACCATTGCTTCTTGATACTTCTACTGTACTACATTTTGGACTTACTTTACACTACTGGGTACTTGTACTTTAACCGAGTATTCTCAGTTTATGGTACTTTCTACGTATAATCCACTACATTTTAGAAGCCAATATTGTACTTTTTACTGCATTACATCTATTTGACAGCTTTTGGTCACTTTTTAGATTAGATAATACAAAATATAAATCAATTATTAAACAAACGTTGACATAGGTTAAGATATCCAGCAGCAGTATATCAAGTATTTAAATTAGCTATACATTTAACAGTTGTGATAAAAACACAAAAATAATAAGTAACTCATATCTGAAATGGGTCATTACGTATAAGGAGTACTTTTACTACTAACACTCCAGTGTAACTTGATGCCGATACTTTTGTACTTTTACTGAAGTAAGGTTTTGAATGCAGGACTTTTACTCGTAACAGTACTTCTGCAATTAAATATTACTATTACCGCCTCTGCTTGTGAGAAGGTATTCTGCTGCCAGGTGATGAACTCCATCATGCAGTCCTTCAGGCGAGCGGTGAAGTCTCGTTGGGTCATGGAGGCCTCACACCTGACCGCCACCGTGTTCTCCTTCAGCTTCTCATACTGGCTCTCAATGTTGCTCACCTCCTCCAGGATGTCTGCGGAGAAGAGCTCCTGCACGGCCATGGACCTCCCAATAAACTCTGCACACACGTTGTTCTGCTTTCGTTTCCTCAGCTTTAGGAAGGAGAGAAAGTGCGGCATGGCGGTGAAGTGAATGGCTTTTGCGGCAACAAGCTTGTGATAGATGTACACCACATCTTGATGCCCTGAGTTCACTGAGTCCTTGAGAAACTTCTGGATTATGTCCCAGTCCCCCAGGGCGAGTCTAATCGGCACAGGGGGGACGGCGAGTTGTGTGTTGTACAAACCAAACATCAGATAAAGGCCTCCCACCCTGATCTGGTAGCTGTATGGAGGCAAGAAGTACTTCACAGCCGTGGCTAAGGTTACTCTGCAGAACCTCTTCTGCTCAGCCATACCGATGATGCCTATAAAAACGTCGGAGAAGCCCATCTGCCTCCAAGCGGCGGAGAAGTACTCGTACCTGATGGAGTCCGACTGCTGGAAACGAGCAAGTAGTTCCTCCACATCTTCAGTCAGAGGATCGTAGAAGAAGTCACTGTAAATAGGTCGCTCACGAGGCATCCTGTCCACTAAATGTACACCTCAGAAACAGCCAGGAGTCTGAAGGAGCTCTTCAGAGCAAGTGAGGCTTGTCATTGGATAATCACCTGAGAACCACGCCCACGAGTCAATTAGGTTTATTTCAAAGCAGGTGTTGTCTGGCAGCAAGGCTTAAGGGGCCCTATTGTGCTCATTTTCAGGTTCATATTAGTATTTTCCCTCTACTTTAAAGTTCAAAAAGGTCTTTATTTATGTCAAAGTGTCTGTGCTGCAGCACCTCTTTTCACCCCACGAGTGTTACGTTTCATGACAGCAGCATGTTTAAAAGGCAGTAAAATAATATGTACTATAAAATGACTATAAAACATTAACACTAAATATGTACGTATCGCTCACTTCTGAGCCCCCTTTCTCAGGGTTTCACTTGCATGGACTATCAATACGTTATAATTTGAATGAACTCAGAAATTGCCAATTTATGAAAATGATGCTAATAATGTGGCACATCTTCTTTATGAATTTTTCATTAAATTATTTTAACTTGAAAGATGATTTCCTGTTGTAAAATAAATTCCATGTCATGCGACTCCGAAGCTTTTAAAAGTATTATTTATTTTAAATAGCTCCCACGTCAAATGAGCTATTGACTCCAAATCAATGCAACCTTGTATTCTACACTGGACTGATTATTTTCAATACGTTTCATGATAATTTGGATTTCTGCCCTGTTCAAATGAATAGGGGTCAACACCTGCCAAAACAAATCTGTCTTTTACCCAAATCAAGTCATATTCCATCCAAAAATAAATAATCCAAATGCCAACTCCACACACAGATCAGAACACAGTAGTTATATCATAGGAGGAACCACAGGGGTCATGTGTCTTTGTTAAGGGTTTTATTAAGACTTAACAAAAAGGGATCACCTGTTTGGTCTGAAAACAAGCTCTGGGTTTTGCTTGAATTTAGACCAACACAGGGATTACAAAATAAATATTCACTTTTTGTAGCCGATTGAAAGTAAAAGGGACAATTTAAGAAAACATGAAGCAAACAGCCAGAGTGTGATATCTTATTTCTCCGAATCAAGAAATATTAAGGACAATTCTCCCAAAAATGTACTCCATGTTAGCTTGAAAAGGCAGTTTCTATCATCCTAACCACCACATGGTAAAATATTAAGAAAATGCATTGAATATGTTTTGATGTCAGCAGTGACAGGCTTTCAGTGATTTCATTGAATAGAGGGTGAGTGGATTCACCATTTTTTTAATAAAGACATTTAGAGATGCGTCTGAAGGTCTTTGTAAATTACAAGGGGACAAATGTGAGCAATTTGGAATAAAAAAAAGACGGAGCACCAGGTAAAAGTAAACAAAAAAAGCATTTTACCATTCATCTGAAACTTTAATGAAAACAAAATGGCAATATCTGTCTTTTTAATTGTGACCTCACAAGGTCGAGAGTAAAACCACTTGCTTTTGCAGAGCAACAAAAAGTTAATTTGTGTAGAAACGTCCTTGAAATACTCTTCTTTGTACTTTTAACACAAATGAATGACACAGAACAGCAGAGGGGAGCTTTTGGTTTCACATAATTCAATGAATGGCCAGAACAAAAATAAAAAAAAACATAAAAAAAGCTGATTTCTCTGTGAGGCAGCGGTGTGTCACGTGATGCTTCCCTCCGACTACCAGCCTCCTTTGCCTCCTTTCTTCTTCTTCTGTGGTACCTTCTTGCGCGTTGCCCCCGGCGCTGCAGGTTTCTGCTGTCGGGGGGGAACCACGTTGCTGGCGGGGGCCGTGGAGGAGCCAGACGCAGAGCCGGGTCTAGGGGAGGTGGGGGGGCTGCTGGCCGTCTTACTGGCATCCCTGGAACAATGGGGGGAGAAATCATGTCAGAAGGGAAGGCATGTTATTTATACCGCACCTTTCAACACAAGGCAGTTCAAAGTGCTTTAGAAACATGAAAGACATTAAGAAACAAATTATAAAATGGCATTTAAAAACACTCCTTTAAAAGCAAAGATAAAACATGAATAACAAAAAGGTACATGAATTAAAGTTACAGTGCCGTGTGAGATACACACATCTGAAATGTTTAGGTCGGACTCTGAGAAATGTCTCTCAAGGAAATATGTTTTTCACCCTGGGAACATTTTGCTTTTAAATGTCTGTGTTAAACCCATTAAACAAGTTCAAATGTGACGCCCTGTGTCTCTCTGGGCCCTCAAATATCTTACAGGAATAGTAAGAGGTCCATTTCCTTTCTTTTGAAGAGTTAAATGAGAAGATTAACACAAAAAAAGGTATTCAATATACAATGAAAAATAGTTAAAAAAGCAAATTTGACTCATTTGAAAATCTGAAAAGAACACATGTTGTACGTTTGCTTGAAAATGTAGGTGATATTTTATATTATAACAATGTAACAATTGTTTTATTAAAAAGTTGTCACTGCCTCACATATGGCATATGGATTTATACTTTTGCTGCCACTAACAATACTTTGTATTTTGGCTCTGCACATCTCCACTGAGGAATTATTGGCAGGGAATCAGAAAGGACACTCGAGTGCTTCACTTCCATCAGAGTGTAGATAATGAAGGTTACAGCTCCACCCTCAGGTCATGATGGTTTACTCACAGCTCGGCCGAAGCTCCTGCTGTCGCTCCCTGTGTTCCTTTTCCTATCGTGTCCTTCTTCTTGCCCTTCTTCTTGCCTCTGTAGTAGGTACGCTCCCTCATGGGCAGCCACCGCTCCATGTCAGGGGTCGCTGAGAGGTCGCAGTTCTTGGGCAGTTTGCCTAGAAAATAAAAAAAGATCAGGTTAGACAGATCTCTGGTAAATAACTAGAAGCTAAGTTACCAAGGTGAGTACAGCTTTTAAGGAGTCATATCTTTTTGAAGCGTTTTGTCAAAGCAAGTTCCCATTCCTTGTTATTTTGGAATTCATTTACATTTAAAGTTGTATTGGTAGCAGTAGTAGTCGAAGTAGAAGTAGAAGTAGAAGTAGTAGAAGTAGTAGTAGTAGTAGAAGTAGTAGTAGTAGTAGTAGTAGTAGTAGTAGTAGTAGTAGTAGTAGTAGAAGTAGTAGTAGTAGTAGTAGAAGTAGTAGTAGAAGTAGTAGTAGTAGTAGTAGTAGTAGTAGTAGTAGTAGTAGTAGTAGTAGAAGTAGTAGTAGTAGTAGTAGTAGTAGTAGTAGTAGTAGTAGTAGTAGTAGTAGTGGTAGTAGTAGTAGTAGTAGCAGTAGTAGAAGTAGCAGTAGTAGTAGTAGTAGTAGTAGTAGTAGTAGTAGTAGTAGTAGTAGAAGTAGTAGTAGTAGTAGTAGAAGTAGTAGTAGTAGTAGTAGTAGTAGTAGTAGTAGTAGTAGTAGTAGAAGTAGTAGTAGTAGTAGTAGTAGTAGAAGTAGTAGTAGTAGTAGTAGTAGAAGTAGTAGTAGTAGTAGTAGTAGTAGTAGTAGAAGTAGTAGTAGAAGTAGAAGTAGTAGTAGTAGTAGTAGTAGAAGTAGTAGAAGTAGTAGAAGTAGTCGTATTAGTAGTATAGTAGTAGTCGTCGTCGTCGTAGTAGTAGTAGTAGAAGTAGAAGTAGTAGAAGTAGTAGAAGTAGTAGAAGTAGTAGTAGTAGTAGTAGTAGTAGTAGTAGTAGTAGTAGTAGTAGTAGTAGTAGTAGTAGTAGTAGTAGTAGTAGTAGTAGTAGTAGTAGTAGTAGTAGAAGTAGCAGTAGTAGTAGTAGTAGTAGTAGTGGTAGTGGTAGTAGAAGTAGTAGTAGTAGTAGAAGTAGAAGTAGTAGTAGAAGTAGTAGTGGTAGTAGAAGTAGAAGTAGTAGTAGAGAGTAGAAGTAGTAGTAGTAGTAGTAGAAGTAGTAGAAGTAGAAGTAGTAGTCGTAGTAGTAGTATAGTAGTAGTCGTCGTCGTCGTAGTAGTAGTAGTAGAAGTAGAAGTAGTAGTAGTAGTATAGTAGTAGTCGTCGTCGTCGTAGTAGTAGTAGTAGAAGTAGAAGTAGTAGAAGTAGTAGAAGTAGTCGTATTAGTAGTATAGTAGTAGTCGTAGTAGTAGTAGTAGTAGTAGTAGTAGTATAGTAGTAGTCGTCGTAGTAGTAGTATAGTAGTAGTCGTCGTAGTAGTAGTTGTATTAGTAGTAGTAGTTGTATTAGTATAGTAGTGTAGTAGTAGCCGTCAAGTCTTTTTGAAGCATTTTGTCAAAGCAAGTTCCCATTCTTTGTTATTTTGGATTTCATTCAAAGCACCAACAATGTGTGAAGATTTTGCATACCTTTCTTTTTCTTCTTCTTCTTTTTGATGTCGCCTTGGCTGTAAATAAAACCCCAGACGTAAGCGTTAAGGAGGTGAAGGTGTAGCCCCTGAGATCATCCTTAATACTTTTCTATGAACAAATACCATCTAAATGTAGTTTATTTCTGAAGCCGGTGAGATTACCTCTGTTCTTTGGGAAGGTTTTCTCCGATGACCTTAGCTGCCTTTTTCCTGACGTAGTTTGCTCCGTGGGAGTTCTCCAGTTCGTCAACGTCCACATTTAAGGCCATCGTCTCTGCGGAGGGGAGGTGTTTGCTGAGGCTGCACAGGAATGCTTAGGAAATGTACATTGAATGTATACAGCTTAAATTAATCCAAGAGTCATTAACAACAAAAAAAAGCATTAATATACAATACAAATATGGTAATAATCTCAGGTTGGATAACAAATAATGAGGCTCCATTACTGTTTTCTATACAATTAACATGGTACTAGTCTTTAGCGTTTGTGGTGTGGTCTTCTCGGGCTGCAAATGGAAACAATTTTTCATTCTGACAAATCAGTCTCACAACTAAACTATGGCTGCACGATATATCGTGTCGTGACGATAATCGCGATATAAGCATACATCGCAGGCCGTGCGATAAAAAAAAAAAGTAAATATATATTTTTTTTTAGGACGTGCGATATTAAGTAGGCAAATTAACTCAAACACGCCATGTTACAATTCTTTTGCTGCTTGCTACAAAAGGAAAACTTGCACGGCTCTCATCTCAGGGGTACTTGAGTGAGTGACATGCAGGCTCTGCATGGACAGCAAACCACCAATCACAATCAAATCTCCAAAGAAACACTGAATAAAGTAGTTTCATGTGTTTCTCCAGTTCGGCGCTGCTAACCGAGCTAGCTCAGCTTGTTGATCTGATAACTTAAGATCCAGACGTCCGTGACTAATATCCTTCATCCGGTTAAATATAGTTAGAAAAATACCAATTGTATAGCATTCAAGTTCAAGAAAGCATGGTTTTCGAAAAAAAAGAAAAGTATTTTCTTCAATTCCTGTATTTTTTCATATCGCAATATATATCACGGGGGGAAACTAATCGCGATGTCAGATTTTTCCAATATCGTGCAGCCCTAATGCCTATTATATCTTCCTAAAAGCACAAGGTGGCGTTTTCATGTTTCCTGATTTATTGGATCATCTACACATAAAAACAATATCTACATTTCAAATGTTCAGGAGGTCAAAGGATACGATTTGGCTTTATCTGTGTCCACCAGAGAGTACGCAGAGATGAGTTGTGCCAGTGTGTGGATGTCCTTAGTGTTTTGCCTGTATTAGGAAAAAAGGAAACACGTTTAGCTTCATTGTTCTAAAGAAGAAATTCTTCCACATTTGAGTTTTTCGGCTCTATAAGCAGAGTGTAACGATGTTTCTCAAGCTGTGTAACAAACAAACGAGCTACTTGCAGGCAAGAATGATTGAACTGTAAGCAGAATGGACAGCTTGGAGATAACTTCCACATCATCACAAACACTCAAACACTTTTCTGATTGTGAGAGTGTTTCTAAAGAGCTGCAACTCACTTCCACAGCTGCTCCAGATCACTGATGGCTTCTTTTTTCCGACCGTGCTTCAGTTTGAAATTGGCAGCTTCTCGTACAAGAGCCAAGTGAGCAGCAGATCCGGACTGTGGAGGAGGAGGAAGAGCAGGACGACCATTCAATGAAAAAAACATTCAAAAACTACTTCCTGAGGTGGCTTAAACTGTCATATTAAAATATGATGAAACCACCTTCACTATAGGTGATACTTCATTTTGACTCAATGTTTTTATAAAGCACTTGATGCTCTAATGTTATTTTCACAATTAAAACATAGGACACAAACCTGCTCAGACTGGTAATGGTCGATCCCTTGTTTGAAAACCTCGATAGCGCTGTCGATGTCTTCTTCATGGGAGTACATCGTTACCAGAGCGGAAATCTGAAGAGTCAAAGACACGGTTAGATCAGAGTTCAATTGTGGCGCTTTTCCACTGCAGCACGTAGCACGGTTTAAACGGGCCGGTTTTGCTTTTCCACGAGGGGTAGTTCCGGCTCAGGGCTACTTTTTCACCTTTTTTCTGGCCCTCCAAAATCCCTTACCGGGCCAACAACCGGGCTGAATATGCTAAACTAGTGACGTCAACACTCTCGACTGCTAAAGGGTCAGAGATAATCGCTGGCAAGGGGGCTACAACTACAACAAAATGAACATATTTTACCGTGATTTAATTGTAATACACGTTTCAAAGACGGCAGTAAAACCTTTTAAAATGCGTGTTTTCTGAATGGAGATCGGCTAAGCTAACGTTGTTGTATATGCTCCGACCGTCCACACTCACAACAACGGCCTACAGACATAAATAAAGCAGCGACTGTATTCTCCATGACACAGACAGTCTGTGGTTTGTACTTGTTTAACTTTTGTCTAGTCTCTGAACAGATATGAGGAGCTGTGAGCTCTGAGGGCTAACAGCTAACGTTTTGGTTTTGTAGTTCGCATTGAAGATGGCGTCACGGCAGTTTTATTCCGCCCGCCGAACAGCCGATCGCCTACACTGCGTTACTATAGTTACTACCACAGTTCCTACACTGTAATGGAAACTCGGCATAAAGTGAGCCTTGCCTACCAAGGCCTAACCATACCGTGCTAAGCCGTGCGAGGCCCTGCAATGGAAAAGTGCCATTAGTGAGTTTACACAGTCACCAGGGGACATAACCCAGCCATGCGTTAGTTAAAAGAGACTTTGTGACAATTCTGAGCCGACTTACCATCCCCGATTTGTGCTTGAACTCTTCAATGGACCTTAGAACATCACAAGCTTTTGTTACGTGACCTGAAGACCCAAAACAGAGTATTATAAAACAAATGCTGCCATGTGACCATTATAAAGAATCCCGTAATTTAACATTTTATAAAACTCTGAAAGACTGATTATTAAAAACATAACAAACTACTCAGTTAAACAACTTAATTTGCCTCATTTGAACAATTTGAATGTGTTTATTAGAAGACCCTGGATAATTTAGGACTGACACCCTGTCCTCAGGGAGTAAAGGTAAGTAAGAGTAGGGTCTGGAATCAAACCGTAATACTGTAAATCATATCTCTACCTTGTATTAAATAGAGTTGTGCCATTGTCAGTTTGATGCCAGACGCACTCTCTGGATGTTGGTCTGAGAATTGCTGGAAAACAAAAGGAGAGTTAGAAATCCTGGTCTAAGAAAACAGAAATCACTGAAAAACGAAATTCAGGGTTTAAAAAAAAAAAAAAAGTGTCTTTCAGTAGTGGCCTACATTTGTATGGTGGATAACTGGGAATGAATCATCCCCAGAGCTGGTGTTTGACTTTTACATGATCAGAAAGAAAAGCAGGAGGATGTCTTTAGATTTAGATTTAAAGATCGTCTATTATACTGTTTTTCATCAATATATTATAGGTCTCAGATATATACAGAACATGTCTCTGATTGGCTGAAACACCAACCAGATCATTGCAGCATTACCCATAATCCCCTCTGTTTCAGCCCTGTTTCCACAGTGCTGATTCTGTCTGTTACTTTAGATGAAAATAAGGAGCCCCTCCCCACGCCCCTCTGAGNAGAAGAGACATGAAGAAGAGGGGACACATGTTGATGTAGAAGAGACATGAAGAAGAGGGGACACATGAAGAAGAGGGGACACATGTTGATGTAGAAGAGACATGAAGAAGAGGGGACACATGTTGATGTAGAAGAGACATGAAGAAGAGGGGACACATGTTGATGTAGAAGAGACATGAAGAAGAGGGGACACATGTTGATGTAGAAGAGACATGAAGAAGAGGGGACACATGTTGATGTAGAAGAGACATGAAGAAGAGGGGACACATGAAGAAGAGGGGACACATGTTGATGTAGAAGAGACATGAAGAAGAGGGGACACATGTTGATGTAGAAGAGACATGAAGAAGAGGGGACACATGTAGAAGAGGGGACACATGTTGATGTAGAAGAGACATGAAGAAGAGGGGACACATGTTGATGTAGAAGAGACATGAAGAAGAGGGGACACATGTTGATGTAGAAGAGACATGAAGAAGAGGGGACACATGTTGATGTAGAAGAGACATGAACAGGTGGATTTTGCATAATAGGTGACCTTGAAGACAACAGCAGTGTTATGACTCTGTACCTGCAGCAGCTCGATGGCCCGGCTGTGCTGCTTCTCTCGGCACAGCTGAGCCACCTGGATCAGGACCGGCCGGGGGTGACCCGGGTTCTGAGCCTGGAGACTGGACGACAGTTTCCTGCACTGCTCAGCCTGTGGATGCACACACATGATCCTGATCAGCAACGGGATCTCACATTCTGAGAAGTCAGCCATTCCTGTTCTCCTCTTGATGTGAATGATAACAGCTCTTCATCTACCTGGTTGGTGTACATGGCCAGCAGGGATTTGTTGAAGTCGATGGCCTGCAGCTGCTTCTTGGCCAGCTTGTACTCCACACCTTCAGCGTTCGTCAGCTTCACCTTTTTCTTAGAGTCAAACACGTTTTGGTCCTACGGAAACAGACCGCGTTCATTAAAACACATTCAATCAAAGCAGTATTTTGCCTATGATTTATGATGAAATATTAGCCAAATGTACTACGTTTGCATGCAACACTTGTAATGCTCTATAACTCCGTATATGAGAACAGGGTCATGTTAAAACATTATTCACTTAGGACATTTGGAATAAGCCTTTATTATGTGTAGGATTTTCCAATAAACACATGTAGGATATGCAGCTTTATGAGCATGCAGTGTTTCCGCCAGACCAGGGTGGCGAGGGCGTCCACCCCGAGAGCGAGGGGGGGGGACGTCACGTCGTGTCACGCGACTTGAATTTTGAATTGAGCCGTCCCTTATAGATACTATCTCTTTACGTATTAGTGATGGGAATTCCGGC